TCTATCTATTTTATTGCGGCAGAGCCTCCTATATCTAAAACCATAGATTTTTCTTATCAATTGATAAAATATAACTCTTATGCATAAATATGGTTCTGCCACGTAGCGGCTTCTTATCACAGTATAGTCGCACCGTTGTGAGTTTGGCGGTGCCTTGAAGGCAGGCGATTTTGCCGAGGTGGTCATTATACGACCGAACGAGGAGATAAACTCGTCGTCGCGTCTGGATGGAGCTTCTCTGGAGGATGCCAAGAGGGTGCTGAACGCACGAAATGGATCGTCGATCCTGAAAGACCCCTAGGATTTGTACTGTGATTTGGTAAAGGAATTTCACGACGTCGTCTCCAAAGACCCGCCGTCGGTCTTACCTTCGGACCGAGTTGTGCATCATGAGATTGACCTGATTCCGGGAACCAAACACTGAGTAACACGCCAATGGCCCCTGCTCAAGGAGCAATGTGACGTCATTGAAGCCTTTTTCCGTGCGAAGCACGATGCAGTAACGGGACGTGAGTGCAAGTCTCCATTCGACTCCCACGTTTTGTGTCGGGAGGTGGAGTATCGTTCATGCTTACAATAAGCTAAACGCTGTCACCATTCCGACACAGATGCTGATTCCGAGGAAGGATATTCTCCAGAACAACCTGGTTGGCTGCACAAATCACAGCACACTCAAATTGGTCGATGGTTGTTACCAATTGCTCATGAGAGCGAGTGATACTTCGTTGACAGCGGTAAAGACTCCCCAGCGGGATTCTGGAAGTGGCTAGTGATGCCCCAAGGGCTGTTAAATGCACCAGCAATACTTTAGGCAGTTGTTCAAGCTCCACCTGGCGTATGCAATGACATACTTCGACGACATTTTCGTCCACAGTCATGCGGGGCACGGGACAGATGAAGAAAACCACATCGTTCATTGAGAGCGGCGCTCGAGTGCATGCGCACGTATAAGCTGTATGCTGATGCTGATAAGTGCATTTTTGGCGCGGAAGAAATCTCCTTTATAAGTGGCTTCATTGGGAAGCGCGGCAATCGAGCGGATTCAGCTAAGTTCAAGGCCATTGGGAGCTGGCCGGTTCCAAAGAGCCAGAAAAACTTGCGCTAGTGGCTTGACGTCAACAACTACTTGCACAGGTATAGCGCAAATTATGCGAAAGTGGCACAGCCTTTATCAATCTTCTCAAGAAGGATACGGAACGGTGTTGGGACACCTAACATCGAAAGGCTTTTGACAGGGTCAAAAACAGCCTCCTTCACACACCAAGACTGGCGTTGCCAGACCCCGATCGTCCTTTTGGTGTCGTCTGTGACACTTCGGACTTTGCCATCGGCTGTGCACTTCTGCAAGTAGACGCTGAGGGGCGAGATCGGGTGATCGCGTTCGAATCTTGCCAACATAAGGCTCCGAAGAAGAACTAACCAGTCCACATCAGGTAATCAATTGCGATGAAGTATGTTCAAGGTGGGACTTGCTGGACTCAAAGCCGTTTGTAATCTACAGATATCATGCGTCGTTACACACTTCGACTCGGTCGCCTTACCTCTCTCAGAGGATGGTCAGGTGGCTCTCTTAATTTGAACGATATAACTTCGAGGTTAAGTATAAACCAGGAAAGCAGAATACTTTGGCTGATGTGTTGTCACGCAGACCAGATTATGATATTACTCATGTTACGATGCTGGCGTCGTCAGTGATGGATTTGATCCGCGCCGCATACGCGGGTGATGGTATGTGTGTAGCGCTGCTACAGGCTATCGGGAGCAAGGAACTCGGACAACAAATTGTCGGCGCGTTTGCGAGCACGATTACGCCGATATCCGTTGAATAAAGGGTTGCTGAATTATGGCACTGACTCGACGGATACGCCATGGTTTGTGATTCCTCACGATGAGTATTCAAAATACTGTATCCTCTATGAGGCCCACGACACCCCACTCAGTGGTCATCTTGGTCGTGAGAAGACGTACAACTCTGTGAATTGCCACTACTGGTGGCTCAAGCTGTACAAAGGGACGAGCACAAATGCGCGCACGTGTGAGACATATTAAAAGATCAAACCTTTTCCGAACGCGGCGGCACCGCTCGCCACTTTACTGGTGCCCTTCGGGTGCTGGCAGTTCATGAGCATGGTCTTTGTGTTGGCCTGCCGAAGGACATCGCGGGCAACGCGGGTGTGACGTTGTGGTACGGTGACGTTGTTTGTAGATCGTATCTTTCGACAACATGGACTCCAGGAGTCAATTAATTGTCTTTGTATATATAGAGACCCACGAATCACTGGGAAGTTTTGGTCCAAAATCGTCAGGGTGCTGGGCACCAAGTTGACTATGTCAACAGCGGACCATCCGCAAACCGATGGTCAAATTGAGCGCGCGAATCACATCGTTGAAGACGTTCTTCGCAGAGTTTGCGCCGAGACGCCGAGACATCGAAGCGCTGGAGCGCCATGCTGCCACTCGTATAGTTTGCTCTGAACAATGCAGTGCATTGATCTACCGGCTACACGCCGTTCTAAGTGAACGGGCATGTTAATCCTTGCGTCTCGCTGACGTCGCCATCACACGACCCAGGGCTTGGTGGGGGAGGAATACTGAACGACTAGCTGATGCCAGGCCCCGCACTGACCGTAAATAGGTAGATGACTTCTTGTATAGCATACTGAGTGTCATACAACATGTTCACGATGTGATGACTGTAAAGTTAAGACAAAGAATATGCCGACGGAAGAAGCAGAATCAATGTTGAGAGCTTTGAGGTCGGAGACCTGGTTTGTTAAATGCCCAAAACCTTCCTACACATGTAGTCTCTGCTGTCTTTAAGAAAATGCTCCGTCACGGTATATTGGACCTTTCACGGTCGTGGCCCAGCGAGGTCTTGCGTATACGCTCAACCTTTCGGGAATGATGCGCACCCTACCCGGTGTTCTATTTGGGCTTGCTTAAGCCGTACCGGACGTCGTCGACAGGATCGAACACAATATCTTGTGAAGTGGCGAAGATACCCAATTTCCGAAAGCTCGTGGAAGTCTGAGGTGCCACTTCGGCAAAACTGCCCAGACGTCGCGGACGCTTATGATCGAGGGTATCACGACGCTTCATGTCGTCGCTTCACGGATAGCCGGAGGATTGAAAGCTGAGCTAAAGCTATGGCCCTGAGCTGCTGTGATCGTAGAGTCACCCGTGTGAAAAACCACAGAGCTCGCGGTAGCGTGAAAGATCATTCCATGTGTCGCCTAGCGACACAAGAAATGGTGTCGGCGTTGCGCCTTGAGTTTGACAAACTTAAACCGAAGACGGCGTTCTACGCGCACATCAACTTTCTCGGGAATCCGCTGTAAGTGAGACAGCGAGGAAATCTTCCGGTGCCGCTGCATTAGTCGCTCAAATAGCTTCTCGTCATCCGCAGCGCTTTCGTCAGCGGCGAGCACCACAAGAATAGTCCGCATAGCGGGTACAGGATCGTTTCATCTTTGAGATCAAAGTCGAGTGCCTTACCTATCCATTTAGATTTCTTGAGGTACCAAGAGGCGATATCGTAGCCGCTGTTTAAGCTCAGCTTGTGCAATGGCCGGGGGCCTGACTACATAGTCGCCTAACGACCGATTGATCTCGTCTTTTGCTTCAGTAGCGGGATCCGCCAAGCGGAAGCCGTACTTCACACGAGGGTCCAGGATCGAACGTGGATACGAGCGCATGAGAGCTGCCCTGTGGGCAGCCTTCAACTGCTGCCCCTGGCCCTCGTCGAGGCGATTGGTAATACCACCACTCCTTCTGGAAGCCGAGAGGTCAGGGAACAGGCATGTTGTTTGCAGGGCTCACGTCGCACCGTTGGCCTCGCCCTCTTGTGAGAGGATCATTCGACTCGTAGCCGACTTCCTTCAAATTCTCAACGAGGAAATCCATCGCCCGTGGAGTCAAACTGTTTGACTAGATAAATTTTACCTAATATGATATGCTGTATTTGTTTGATACATTATTTGACGCAATTAGCTGCAAGAGGCTCGCTGTCTTCTTTTGCACCTTGCAGCGCAAGCTCTTCAATGATAATTTCGACGATGTCTTTGTGAGCCGTAAATTGTAACGCCTGTGATTGCAGCTCCACAGGCACCGATAAATCAAGAATGATCGTGCGATATTCTTTTTGTTTTGTGGCGCTGGCGTAAATTATCGGGTCCAAATGCTGGTCACTTGAAAGTTCAGGATAAATTTGCATCATTTGGATTGATCTCTAGACCAAAGAAAACACGGAATTGACACTTGATAGCTTCAGCATCTCCTGATATCGGGTATCGGGAAGCAGTACAGTTTCCGTTTTCTGTCAAATATTTCATTCGAATCGGCGTCATTTGCGATTCGAGAGATCCTTTGCGTGAACATTTACTTGCGAATGCTCTTTGGCTGCATCTTCAGTACTACTATTGACCGATAACGTGGACATGAGGTGCATTTCGCAACCTATTGACCTTGCGGCTTATTTAAAAATTTTTAGAATACGTAATCCTAAAAGCATCTATTTTTAAAACTTTTTAGTAAGAAATTACCGTCAAATTATTATTATACTCTTGTCACTTTTATTGTCGTTCTTCATGTATGTGCGTGAAGGCCCACCAATTGCTTTTCGATTGCCAGCATTAAATGATATATTCATAAACCATACCTTCAAGCATAAGTTTTCGTCATCGCAAATTTGGTTTGGATGATTAGTTTACGCGCTCAAGAACTAATTTTTGAAAGAGTATTTTACTATTGGGTGGTTGTGACAGCTAGATATTCAAGTCAAGCTTATAACGCCTGAGTTGTAACAGCTAGATATTCAAGTCAAGCTTATAACGCCTGAGTTGTAATTCTCTTCGTATTAAAGTGGATTATTTTTGGTTAATCAAACTGCTTTGTGACATTTCTGTCAAACGTAAAACATCAGGCTCGTTTTACGGAGCGATAAACGTACCGTTATTGTCTTTGGAAAGACTCCAACTACCTGCTCTTCCACAATGGGTATCGGGCAATCATATTGCAGCGTCGTTTCCGCCATTTATGTTTTTTGCACCAGCATTTTATCCTGAGCTTCGATTCAACCCCTGAAGCTGTGCATAATGATAGTACTCGAAGCAGCACATTGTCTGTGATTGATCATAATTAGGTACGCAACTCCTTACGGATGCCAAACATGTTCGTATTTTATTAAAGTTTGTGGATAGGAACGCAATTTAGATGATCAGGAATGAGGATTCTCCCCAGCCTCGAAAATAAGCTGCTTTGATCAAATTTCCTACCTGTCATTTCTTCTTTCGCCGTATCAATGAGCTCTCGCGCCATGCTTCTCGGAATTATTGCCATCTTTGCTGCTTCCTATGGTATAGTGGAAAGGGCTGACGCTGATGTATCTGTACACCCAGAAGCTATCTCCTACCATTACAACTTTATAAATGTCAACGCAGTGCAGCCCTTTAAACAGCCTAAACCGACGACAGATTCTCAAAGATCTGCCATTAAATACCAACCACGGCTTTCCATTTCGAGCCGATGTCATCCATATCCTGCAGTGCAGGCGAATGGGTCACTAAATGAGGGACTTCCCTGGAAAGTCTTCCAGTATCGATGTCATGGATCTCCCCACGGTTCTCAAATTTACTCGTGATCCGATTGGTACCGAGGCAAGTGGGCCATTATGTACGCGTGGTACCTTCCGAAGGCCTTGGACCAAACTAACTGGTTGGTTGACGGCCATTGTCACTTTTGGACCTGGGTCGTTGTCTGGACAGACAGCCCTGATCCGAATGTCTCGACCATTCTCGCTGGATCAACAGCTGGCATCGGCGACAAAATCAAGAAATACCTACCACTAGAGTCAAAGTATCTTCTTGACAACAAGTCTTTGAAGGTCAAAACACATGAAAGTTATTTATGGAAGAGGACTGGAGTCAAGGTTACCGAAAAAGTCGGTACTGCAGACTCTCATTACTTGGGAGCAGCTTACAGATGAGGCTCGAACAGCGCTATCATCTTAGCATTACCCGTATTGGCGTATGGAGTCGCCGATTCAAAACAAGCGTTTTAATCGGACGCTGAAAGCTGCTTATCCATTCTAGGCTGCAGATATGCAACAAGCAACGATAGGCTTGTTTCTAAGTCATTACGATTTTTAATCTGATACATAATTTGCTTACTCAATCGTGGTAGTATAATTATGCATAATATTTCTAAGCGTCGATAAAACTTTGAAAATGTCTTAAACTAATAGCTATACGAATGATAAATCACTAGATTACAGAAATGAGCTCTACCTTTCGAATCCGTTACATAATCAACGCGCTCTCTAAATTTGGGTCGAGAATAATAAATTCATCATAATTTTTGCTCGTCTGCCATTTGATTATTATCAGAATCCACATAAAAATCACAGTAAAATCATTACACTAGGCACTCTGTCTTTGTTACGATATATTTAGGAACCATTTGATTTAAATATAAGAGACTTACAATATCAACAAAAAACTAGAAACCTTTTTGGCAAAATAATTACAAAGTTTAGCTTGAAAGTGCACTTCACCACGCAGCAACATTGTTGTTATAAACTGCGGACGCGCCAAAGTTGATGTCCGTGTATACCGTTACAATTCCCATGCTAGCACCGTTGACAGTACAATGTAATGAGTCAAGATAATTCGAAGCTTATTAATATCGTCACGTACTTGTCGGAAGCAGCGAGATAAAGCCCTCGCTCATAGGAGAAATCACCGCTAGTTTTGTACGACTTCAAACATTGCGGCTGATACCTACATCACGTTTCAAATCCAGATGTTGTCAGGAAGTAGTGGATAAGAAGAAAAACAACGTTTTCACGTACACGGTGAGATGATTTAAGCTGCTGGCTGTTGAATTAATCGATTTTGAAAATCTGATGGGAGTTCGTACACTCACAGTCAGCTACATCTTATGAGAGTAATGAGTCAACTTTGTATTCTTACCCACCGCGACCAAATACACTCAACTTGTCCGTTTTGGAACGACGAATTTCACCAACACTCGACAGTTTCGATTCGATTAGGGACGTGCTTGAATAATATTACGAAGCAGTGAAGGTCATTATTTAGTTGCTGTTCAGCGAGCTGTAAGCACTACGTACCAACATGACTGTCGAGGCATGCGAAGATCAACAAAAGCGATGTGACCTCGTTCAAATCCTAGAGCGACCGTGAAGGTGTTCAGGTATTCGTGTGCGAAGAGACCGCCCAATGCATTTACGTTCTGGTTTAAAGGAATTAAAGAGAGATCATTCAGTAGGCAAAAATGTCCAATGTCCAATAGCAAATGAAATTCACTTACCACAAAGGAGTAAAGAGGCATTTGGAGTTGTGGCAAGCGAATGCGAGTATCCACAATTTGGAAATCTCCTCCATCTGTTGTCCAGCTCATTTGAGTATGAATCAATGACCAGCGGACGCTGCTCACCACGTCGTGGGCATCAAATTTGCCGATAACAGCTGCAGCTTGTGGGTCGCCGTGATAACGAAGATCAGTCAAAACCACAGTTTCGTCGAAACCTGTAATAGCGAGCCTTTGAACAATGATCAATTTTATAGGCACAATTGCCTTGCGCACCTCCAGACAAGACGTGTGTGTCTGTAATAGGCGAGACAGCAAGCTCTCGAATGGTGTCTGAGTGGACCGTGTTGATTGGATCTGCAGTTTGGCGTGTAAGAAAAAAACAACAAACGACATCATATGGCTCAAGGGTCTTACTTTGCAGTCTGCAAGGACCCCCAAGAGCAAGATCCCTCAAATGGATAACATGGATTTCTTTGCCGATCGCTGCAATTGCGGCGTAGGAGCCCATCCATTGGAGGTCACGGACCTCCTGTGAAACGCAATCGATAAAGTCAAATATTGAGTCATATTTTCTCGTGTCAAATTGACACACCTTTTTTACCGCTATATGAGCTGGAGATCCCGAAGCCAAGAAGTTTGTAACAAAGATGCGATTCTTTTCACCGTTTGGTAGCGAGGGATCTGCCTCAATTTCTGTGCCAACAAGCAAAAGTCCATCCTCTCGAATGATAGGTTTCGATAATGCTAAAGATACAAAACAACAAACAAAGTGAATTTACTTCCAACGAAATGAAATATTTTTATGTTTCATACGAAAAGCTGTGCCGTCCTGCCGCAAGCCGAAGGTGATGCAATGGCTTGGGTTTGATACATTTGAAAATAAAGGCTGATTTTGCGTTAACAATGGCAAAGGCGAGACTGGCAATGTTGTGCCACCAAGCAAGCTTAAGTGAAAATCATCATAATTACATAAATTTGGATTAGCACGAAAAAATTACTTGACGATAGAATAACAGACTCACTCTTCATACCCGATCGGCAAATGAGACGACAAATCAGGCGAAGGTGCTAAAGGTGTGGAGGTCACCGGATCAGTTGCCGGCCGAGGCGGTGACATCAAACCTGATGTTGCCACCGACATTTCTTGATCAAAAGGTTGATCATTGTAATTTTCGAGTCTCATGTGAGACTCGGCAATGATATCCCAGAAGCTAATTTCATCTTTATCTCCTCCGCACTGGACGTCATACGAAGCCATAATGGCATCCTCCATTTCTTGGTCACCGATAACATTCTGTTCGACGATTTGGTCGTCGTCGACCAACACAGAAGAGATTGGTGGTGTTGTAACCAGGTCCGTCAAGTCTGGTTCATCACTTAGTTGTGGAGAGGTTTCAGTAGATGGCGACGGCGAGAGAGGGGAGGTAGGCATTATTTTATCCAGATCTAAACTTTGCGCCTTGGAAACTGAAAATGTACTCGACAAATGGTGTAATGGAGGAATTTGACCCAGCTATACTTCGTTTTGCAATAAGAAAGGGCAAACAAGTAGATCTTTATCATGGAAAAGACCTCATTCTCTTGGCATTGATGTGATAGTGGTGGACTCTGACTTCTACTGTTTTCGTCTAAAACCTAAAGTCTTTTGCGACGTGTAGTTATCGAAGAGATCAATAACTGTGTCCATCAAAGTCTCTTCCAAAAGTACTGAACAATCCGTTCAGGGAGTCCAATTTAAGCCAATCACGTCTGTTCGCACGCCGTGTGCAAACTCTTACGACAATGAATCTCAACACAGCGACTTTAACCGACCTGCAGCAACTACCAGGTGTCGGCTACATTACAGCACAGCGTATTGTTGAATCGCGCCCTTTCTTTTCGATCACAGACCTTTTGAGAGTGAAAGGTATTGGGTCTGCTAAATTCGCCGCTATCACAGCGAAATACCAGATTTACGTGGATGAAAAATCTTTAGATGTGGATACTAATGTTAAATGCAATTTAGCGCTTTCTGAGATTGATTTGAATACAGCGAGTGAGAGACAACTGCAGCAACTCAGTGGAGTAGGACCAGCATTGGCTCAACGAATTATTAATGCGAGGCCTCTTTATCGAAAAGAAGATCTTTTGGCTGTGAATGGTATCAATACAAAGTCCTACATGAAGATACAAGTGATGGCTTATGTCGAAAAGACCTCTGGAAATGCTAAATCGGGAAACGTCAAGGATGTTGATGTAGACAAAGTGGATACTGATAGGAACTTTCACGATAGCAAAGAGATCGAACGTGATGTTCGCGGATCTCTCGCTTTCATGTCAAACAGCTATGGTGATGACAACCGCCCATTTCTTGTGGCCAGTTGGAATATTCGGAATATCTCACGACGAAAAAACGTTTATTTGCTAGAACGTATTGCCAAGGTGTTGGATGAATTTGACCTTGTTGCGCTGCAGGAAGTGAGAGATCTGCTTGTCTTAAAGAGGCTTAAGACGATGATGCCCGGCTGGGACTATGAGGTTTCCGAAGCGGTAGGGAGCATGATGTCGGATGCAAAGAAAAGGCTCGAACGCTACGCCTTTTTTTATCGGCGTTGCGCTGTTGAGCTCGTTGAAAAATGTTCGCTTATTGAAGATAGCAGCAAAATGCTCATTAGGTCACCGTGCGTTGCTTCTTTTCAATCGACAAAAATGCTCGGATCGTCAAAGCTGATTTTTACGCTCATGAATGTGCACGTTTCTTTCGGCAACAAACAAAAACGTCTTGCTGAAATTGTAGAAATTAATCGGTTGGTGGATGAGATGAGTACATCAGCGCCAAAGAAGCGGATTGTCGTATTAGGGGACTTCAATCTGTCACAACAAGATTTGTTGAACAGTTCAAGCCTTTATAGACTGGCGCTTATTCGATCCCCTCTTTCGACTACAGTTTACAACAAACTCTACGACAACATATTAATCGATAGATCCGATTTCCGTAATTGCAAGGAAGGTGAGTACGACTTTATTGTAGACAGCGGAGTACTCCGCATAGATTGGAGATATTATCCACTTTCAAAGAGTTGTCTTTCAGCCGCGCATACTTTATCAAATTCGGCGATGCCTCCGCGACTTCAAACGTATATGTCTCGCGTACAATGCTGTTACGAGCTTTCAGATCATTGTCCCGTGTGGGTTGCTTTCACAGTCGTGAGCAAACAAAAGAATCGCGTCATTGGTGAAGCTACATGCAAGAGCTCGAGTGAATGTATTGGTACCTAAAACTTCAGACATGTACTGTTGCGGCTTCGTACACAAAATTTAATTTTTGTGCTGCATTGACACAATTATTTAAAACGCTATAACAAGGGATCTTAAAGATAATGTTATTATACATCGACCATTACGTTATCGTCATCGTTTAAGCACAATGCTGTAAACAGGTACCTAAAACTCGATTTTTTACTGTTCAGAAAGCCTATCAGACCATCTTGATACTAGTATTACTAAATACACTAATGATGTTTCAAGTGATAGTATTTAGTAATCATACCACCATCATGGTTCTTTGTGACGGATTCTCTGTTGATCTAAAGGAAACAATGAGAGAATGACATTTCTCAGCCACACACTAAATAAAGCACGAGAACTCTTCAGAAGTTATTCGCCGAAGAAGCAAGAAGATTTTTTGGTTTCTTGGACCTGAAACTCGACATGGTACATCGTTGCCGAGTTTCTCTTCAGATTTGTGAATCATCAATTTCGTCGCTGAGTTCGAGTAATAAAATACTGGCATGGAGGGCGTAGCTTTTTTAATTGTGAGGGGCTTCTGCTTTTTAAACTCCTTCAGGATACGAAGGAAAAACATAGTAAGAAAAATAATCATGTCCGATGAAGTAACAAATGCCTCCATCCCGACATAGGAATGATTTTCGCCCGGTGATAACTAGCAGCTAGTTTTTAGATTAACCCACATTGCATTCCAAAATATATGACCGGAATGCTGGAAATGGAGAATTCAATGTGTTTTTGACTGAAATATCAACAATTGCTGAGCTTTCCAAAGAATAAAATTTTTACTTCTCAGGTTAATTTTCTATCTAATTACGACATATAAATACATTTTTACGGGCTTTATGAATCACCATTCCCTTTAGTCGGCGTTTAGCTCAGAGAATTCGAGCCGGATGTAAAGAGTTCGTGAGATGATCAATCGATACAGTCAAGCATTGACGTAAATGGTGTTGTAAGAAATCCGTACCACTAAAAGAAGCTTATAAGTCCTTAAGAGTATGTACGAAGGCTTTCATGGGTAGCAACAAATCGCCACATTAAGCATTTTATATTTTCTGAGAAAAATATCCAGATATACGATTAACGTCAATGACGACAAACTTTCTCAAAGCATATTTATGACTAATGAGCTATTTTTCCAATTAACTTACGCAAACAGAATGCAATAAGCTGATAAACCTTTGTTCATTCATCTCATCCATTTCAAAAGTGCAATTCATACATAACATCATTCAAACTACCAATAACAAAATCAGTCATACCATTCGTACTCGAGTCGTTCGAGGGCCAAATCCGATTGATTTGTGGTGGAATGTATGCTCAGTGTTGATTTGCTAAACGGGCGCGCTATTATCTGGGTATGGCTGCGCTTTGCAGTTAGCGTATGAAATGCTTGCACAGCTGAATAACTTAGTACTTAAAAAATATCATTCTTCGATAATAAAACGCATTTGGTACTTGGAGCATAAATAACCAAGTTTATACATTGGGAGCTAATTCTGTTGGTGGGGACAGGGCAAGTACTACTTCTGTGAAAATTGCTCACAATTACGTAACTTGTTTGTTGACCATCCAAGCTTTCTCCCACGATACTACTGAGCTCATACTAGTTGGACATGAACCTAATGATCATATACACAGGATTAGTTGTACAATATAATATATTCTTTAATGTACTGTGATTGCATGCAAATTGACGTTTTATCACCAGCTCAAATTTGTGCACGATGTGACGCCATGTTTACATGTGTATACCATACGTATGTTTTCAAAACCTTATTAAACCTTCTTTTAACTTGATTTTTCTATAGACATTAGATTAAACAAGTCTAATCAGGACTAAAAACGAAGACCAACTGCGCGTGCGGATAGAGCGAAGAGCGAAGACCTAAGTGGCATAGACAGCGCATCATTTCAAGCGTCTTAAGCGTCCGTGTGGTATCTCTTTCTTGTAAAAGACAGCACCCCGTATTTGTGCCGACCAGGGGCTTCTTGTCAAGCAGAAGCAATCTCATTTGAAGTGATATAAGAGCTGCAATTGACTGTTTAATCCTGTCCGTCCGCTGCTAGAGCTGCGTAGCTGCTTGATTGCTCGTTTTCGCTGCTAAAAACGCTCCAAAGTGACTTGACACGTGATCACGGCCTAGCCACAGCATTTGATCGTTTTTAAAGCCATTTAAAGCTACAGAGAGAGGAAACTTCACGTTGTCTCCCTTTTAGTCAGCTTATACACGATATTTAAGGCTTCATATAAGCCTCCAAAATGGAGGAAAGCGACGTATACGCACGAGAGGAAGGTGACCGCCCCGTAGAGCATTCGCCGCGTGGGCGCTACATCCGCTTCGATATTCGATTAGGCACAGGTGCTTACAAATCAGTATACAAGGCGTATGACACGGACCAGGGCATCGACGTAGCTTGGAACGCCATTGATATTGGCTTGTTACCTAGCACCGAGAAGACACGCATTATTCAAGAGGTTCAGCTGCTACAAAAGCTTGAGCACAAGAACATTATAAATTTTTATGGCTCGTGGTTCTCTAAGGAGAAGAATCAGGTTGTTTTCATCACGGAGATCATGACATCGGGAACGCTTAAGTCGTATATCAAACGTGTGCAGTTTATTAAGTGGAAGATTATCAAACGCTGGTGCATTCAGATTCTCGAGGGTCTCCATTATCTCCATAGTCAGAATCCGCCTGTCATACACCGGGATCTCAAGTGTGACAACATTTTTGTAAATGGAAATACGGGAGACTTACGAATTGGCGATCTAGGTCTTTCCACACAACTGGCAGTCGACAAGAGATCCAAGGCACAGAGTGTACTGGGCACACCCGAATTTATGGCACCGGAGCTGTATGACGAGAGTTATGATGAAAAGGTGGATGTTTATGCCTTTGGTATGTGTGTACTGGAGATGGTGACTAAGGAAGTGCCATACTCGGAGTGTATCAACCCAGCTCAGATCTACAAGAAAGTGACAGCAGGAATTCGACCAAAAGGTCTTCAGCGCGTTGTTAGTCAAGCTGCACGTGATTTTATCGAGTTGTGTTTATCACGTGGTAATGGATTGGTGGATGTGACTGCGCAGTATCTGTTAGACCACCCCTTCTTGAAGGTCCAAGATGATGATAATGATATGGTGGAATGTCTGCTCAAAGACGACTTGGAGTACGAAACGAAAGTCGAACAGCAGCGATTAGAAAAGGTTGCAGAGGAGTCGTTTGCTGAAGAGTTTAATATGGAGGGTGGATCTAAAGACGGCGCAGCACTCGCGTTAAACCAACGGCGTCAACAATTTACTCCGATCTTGATGGAGCCTGAAGCAATGGCTGCTGTATCGCTTCTGACGTTGGCGCCAGACAATTCTTGTAGTACGATTGCGACGGGTTCAACCGAGGTGGAAGCTGCTGGAACGCATCACATGCTTCAAGTATCAGCTGGGAAATATTTTATTGACGATAATTGTGCACCGGTTCCGGAGTCGAATGAATTAGAATTTGTAAACGCAGCTCAAAGTACAGCACAACCTTCCACTCCGCCACCAGAAGCTGCTCAGGCATCACCACTCTCACCTACCCAGCCTGTCATCAGCGAGATGGTTATTGTCGATGAACCACTCTTGTCGGGAAAACAAATTGTCGATACACACGTCGATCAATTCCTTGCAACACTACCTGGATCAGAAAGTGCGATTCAAAACACGCGGATAAACATTATGGGTGGAAGAGGGCATCGATTAGATTTAGAGAACGATTCTGCTCCTGAATACGCTGAAAATCCAGCCGATGCGTCTGATGCTAGCAATCAAGATACCATGGAACACTTGCAATCGTTTTATGGGGACCATCCTTCCGTAGATGTGCATGTGAGAAAATTAGAACATCCCAACTCGGCTCCAGGGCTATTGACCCCGTCTCAAGCGCCTCACGTTCAAATTCCGGCGATGCAGCTGCCTGAGCCAGTTTTCGAGCTTCAATCTACGCTTGTTCGACGGGCAAGTATACATGCACCATCTAATGCAGCAGCAGCTGCGGCAGTAACTGCTGCTCTTGCTGAAGCTGCTGTTCAGCCGTCCGCATCTCAGCAGACCGCACCGGATTTAGCCAATTCTAGCAGTGCAAATTTAAGTGCTCGAAAGCGAGCTAAACGACATGAGATCAAGGCGACCAAAGATCCCGACAATGAGCATAGCATTTTACTGAATTTACGCATCATGATCGATGGCAAATCTAAGGAGATCAAATTTCCTTTTAATTTGTTTGCTGATAGCACTCATGAAGTCACGTGTGAACTAGCTGTCGACGTTGGAATTCGGGAGCCCGATCTTGAAGACATTGCCGACTCAATTCGCTTTCTGGTAACAGAAGGAAAGATTAACAATCTGTCGGATGTGCAGGAAGATGTTTGGGAAGAAGCGCCTGAGCCTCATTCTTTTTCGTCAAAGCCATTTCCGAACGTATCGAAGATGTCTTTTGTCCATGTACCTACAGGAGTGTATCAACAGCAACAAACCTATTTGGTGAACTCAACTGGCTCAGATCATGCGCCAAGTGCGTCTAGTGCAGCCAATTCTGGAGTTTCTTCTTCAGTGCTTCAAAGCGTATTGAGCGCCAGTGGAACGTCTAATTCTGCTGCACCAGCTGGTGGGCCCCTGTCCGTGCAGGAACTTGTAGTGTCTAAATCTCAAGAGTCTCTAAACGCTCCAAGTCTGAGTGACCCATCGTCCATGATGATGCTTGACAAGAACATTCCACAGGGTAATACCAGTAATAGTACCAGTGCGCTCTCTGCGCTTTCTAAAAATGAGCTGGCTCGATCACCCCCACGCCCTGGTCTTTCCCATACGGCAAGTGATTCAACGCTAAGTCGAGAAACGTTACTCAATATTTTGGAAATGCGTTCGCGTGGCGTCTCGCTGGGGTCAATTGCTGATCCGGACCATGTACAGCAAATTCATCAACTGGAAGACCGTTTGAAGCTGGCCAGAAGTACGTTCGATGACCGAGAATCTTCGCTGGAAGCGGCAATACGAAGTGAAGAGGAAAAACATCAGCGTGAAATTGAGCGTTTTCGGAAGAAGATGGAAGAATTTGATAAGCAGCGCGCGGCTATTGCCCGGCAGCAAAATGGGGAAGGTGCAGTTATCAACGATATTAATGGCTCGATGATGGCGTCTTTGAATGAGAATTTTCAACCTTTTGCTCAGGTAGAGGCATTTGTAACCACGAAAGAGCAAAGTTCTTCCAACACGCTTGCTGATCTCGACAATGTTGTGGGTCTTCCACTTGATGGGTCCGATGAAGACTGTTCACCGCCACTATCTGGAGTGGCAGCAGCGTCATATCTCGCATCAGCTCCTAAGTCAACAAGTGCATCAATGCAAGTGAGTTCGGTATCAAATTCTTCAGTAGCTTCGTCGTCAATTCAAGCAGATGAATCAATTCCAAAAAGGTATTTACAATCAGCGAATCCGCTCGTAGTAGGAACAGATACGACGGCCGTAGCAGCGACGGCAATGACATCCCTGGTGGCTAGCCAATCGTATTCTGGACAATCGTAGTAGAGAACCTCACATGGTTGCGCATTCGTGCTGCTTCGTCGTGTTTGTGATTCTGCTAAGTGCTTGCGTAGAATTTCTTGCTCAGGCTGGGAGTTGATGATGACGATGCACCACAATTGTGACCGCAAGCTCGTTATGACCCGTAGCAAAGGGTATTAGCGGAGTATAGCGAGGATTGGGGCTTTTTGTTTGATGGGAAGGGAAGCATAGTTGGATGTGAAAATATGAATTGACAGCCCCAGTCAGACGTTTTTGCAACGTCTCTCCTGTCGTCGCCTCATTTAATCGGCATGGCCGTGCAGATTTGCATATCCCAAACCAATATATAGAAACTATGTGCAATACACGAGCATGTTGGTGCAGATTACTTTGTGTGCAAGTCAGGGGAATTTTGCGTCCACAGGTTTAACAATTTTGAGTCTTCGATATGTGGGTAAGCACCTTTCATATAGGCTGTAAAAGTAACTTCGCAAGGTTAATTATGTACAACACGAGTTGATTGCACTACGGATGTATGTATGGTCTCAATCATTTTCTGATTGACTGGAGATATTTCAAGGCTTCCTGTGTATGTCATAATTTACTTGTTACGTCGTTTGATTGTGTTCAAACACAATCAAACGTCGTAGATTTAATCGTAATTCAATGATGTAATATTCGTATATTTCACCTAAAAGAGTGTTCATATGGTGTCAAAATATATTTTGGTTTGTTATGTCATCGCTAAATTTAAACCTTTTCTTCAATTCTTCATTTACATGTCACTTTTGTACCTTGCGCAGAAGAAGCGTTGGCTCTGATAAACCGCATACAAAGGGTGGGTTTCTTGGTCAGGGCGTCGAACCGAGACCAACTTATCTGCTCAAACTATAGTGTGCTACATTCAAAGTATTAGTTAGTTTGAAACAATGCGTGTAATCCGTTGAACTGTGCATATAAATGAATATAACTTATTTGTTGTATAACACATTTTTTCGAATCTCTCTTTCACAAATTAATCGTGGTACTTCAAAACTATAAACTTAGACAAAAATGTGATGTGTACGTACACCATAATGGAATATGTATCCCGAAGTACCCACAATCACCGAACAAAAGAAAGACGCGACCACTGCGGCAGACATAATTAGTGGTGACTCCCCAAGTCCCAACACAGCATTTGCACCTATAACAAAACTCTAATTTTAGCCATTTACATCATTCTTTTCACCTTTGCGCAGTCTTCGAAATTTATAAAAAAGCTTGTCGCAGGACTCGATTGATGACCAAATTATTACTGATAAGCTAGCTTTGACTCATAAAGACGATTGTTGCAGCGGGGCTGCCGTAGCTTAGCCTTGAAGAAGCATAATTTAGGGCCCCGACCTTTCGTTCTTTACAAGAACCATTACGAGTGTAGCGGATCGCAATCCGCTACCTCCAAGAGTAGTGAGTACATTAACCCAAGGCTAATAAACTCTTCGGTTTAAATTCAAACTGATTTTTATTTATTTTTATCTGCGGCAAAGCCGCCTAAGTTTATATGTCTAGATTTCCCTAAATATATATAGTAAAATCGAAATACATGAATAACTACTGGCTACCTAGCCACATACCGTATTCTTGTTTGGGTTCAGTCACACCATGCCCATCTCGTGTGACACACACACCCTGTTACCAGGGTACTTGTAACCCCGTTACACTCTCCCCCATTTAGATTAAGAGCATTTACATCTCGAACCGATTATTGCCTCAACAAGGCTTGCGTGTCCTCTTGACACTGCAACTTAATAAAACGACTTCCTTACTCAATGAGGCCTGTGTCAACGATACTGAAGTCACCAAGCCTCGCTGTTTCTGACAGCGAACACGGTCAGAGCCCAACATCGTCTCCCGCACGCGGTGCAATGTCGGGCAGTGCGTCCGCGGCACCGGGGGATGTACATCCTAGGCTCGATGAGTACGAGCGCCGCGCTCCGCGTATGTTATCAGTGACTAGTGACCTCGTTGAGGATGAGGAGGTGGTCTTTTATGAGTCTGACACTCCGTGTCCCGCATGGGATGACGAGGAAGGCGAGCTGCGCCAGCGGCGTGAGACGAGCCCTGCTCGCGCCTTGCGGACCCCATGTTCGTTCCCTGACTTCTCGTCAGCCGAGGAAGGTGGTGTAATCACCAATGACCTCGACGGGGCTGAGAGGAGGCAGCTGGAAGCTGCCCATAAGACGGCTTTGAAGCGCGCGCATCCACGGCTGGTCATTGACCCTCGAGTGGAATATGGCTTCCGCCCAGCGGATCTCGCTGTGGAAGCGAAGGACGCGGTAACTCGATTGTCACGCGTACACGTCATCGGGCCCACGGCCAGAACGGAAGACGAGCTTGCCGAACGAAAAGCTCTTCGAGCTCGTTTCTTGATTCAACAAGAATTTCCTTTGGAAGCTTATCGCACTCGTCTGAGTGCTCAACGAGGTGGCTCT